TACTTAATTATATATTACTGAAATAAAGGACTAGAGGAAAGACCTCTCTTAAAAAAAAAAAAAAAAAAAAAAAAAATTATAATAAGTAATTAAATAATTTTTTTTTAGCAATTTTTTATATACATAATTTCATATAACCTTATGTACATTAATCCGAATTGACCAATAAAATTACATAAATAATAAATTATTTACATAATTAATTCTAATATATACACAAATAATTGTATAATATTAATTTATGATTTGCAAAATAGTATATCATAGCCTAGTTACAATCAATTGTGATTTTCTGATCTTGTCTAATTGTGCAATCATGAAATTGCATTTATTAATTAAAAATTTAATATTATATTTATCGAAGATCTACCATTTTGCAAACTGTGATAAATGGCTTCATAATCAATGTTTTATATAATATTTGATTGCTTAAGTTTATAAACTAATATCTTATCTTATACTTATATAAACATATATGCAAATAACAATATTTATGCCTTAATTTACATCTATTTTTAACCTATATACAGAATAATTACAATAAATAATGCCACCTCATATAAATTCTTGCAATATTTATAAACTATTATAATGAATGCTAGACATATATGCACAAAATAAACATAATTTAAAATGCAAATATTAAATGCAAAAAAGTTTTAGTCTATGAAAAGTAAGCCATTCTTCAGAAAAACTTTGTCAACAGCAGATTAGTGAATATTGTAAGTTTAAAGATAAAAGCTGTATATTTTTGTTTGGTTTGAGCTGAATTAGTGTAATATGATTATATTCATATCATTGCAAAATAATAAGTTTTTTACAAGAACCAGGCTTTTGATCAAATGGTAGAAAAAAAAGACTTGTATTTGGATCTGGACTAAATGTTGCAATTAAAATATTAAATATGTCTGATGCCAGTTGTGCATATTCTGGTGTATAAAATCAGTAGTCTTGTAAACAATATGTCTCTAAATATGATAAAACATCTTTAAGTTATTTGATATTATATCTGAGTATGTTACTATACATTTTTTTCCATTTGGTTAAATATTCACACATAGTAACCTTTATATCTCGCCATTTTTCTACATCTCTTAAAATAGCTATAGCCAATGATCAGAACCCACAATGCCTATTACCAATTGGATCATGCATCTGCAATATTACATCTTGAAGAATGCATAACTAATATCTACTTCAGGTATATGTAATGCAACTAAATTATTATTGTTTAAATTTTGGTTAACAATGCTTTTTTTTGGTCTGCCATGTATACGCTTAATTATGGGTGTTTCTATTTTATCATTATCACTATTAATCACATTATCAATACTAATCATTCTAAAAGCAATTAAGTTATTTTGTTTTGGTCTTTTTTTAATAGAAAGCTTTTTCAAAGATATCTTATTTTTTTTATTTTCATTTGCACTATAAATATAACTATTATTTAGTAACCAACCTCATGTATGCTTAATTGCTGGCATCTTGATTTCATCATGATTTACAGTATTTTTAATATTAATAGTTTTAAAATAGCATTTTGTGTATTATTTTGTTCTTTTTGCAGCAGTTTAGATATTTCACCATATTTAATAACATATTCAGATGCTTGCTGCATTAAATCTAAAAAAGCATCATGATAATATACTAGAAGTTATTCAAAAACTTGAGTAATATGAGAGTAAATAGCACTTTCCATTTCTGTATGATTGTTTACAACCCAATGTTAATGAATCTTACTTGGTGGTATATAAGTTTGTAAGTAAAGTAAATAGACTGCAATAACATGCTGACATAGAGTCCTGGTACTTTGTGAATATAGACATGTACAGGTACTAGGTAATCCAAGTTGTATAATATATATCTGGTCTGATTTATTATCAATTTGCTTCATACTATATATACTATTACTGCTTTTAAATATCTCATAAGTACTAGACTTCACAAGATCCCCTTGCTGTCTAATAAATAACTCGAATGCAAATCATGAGCATACTAATTTTAGTTTATTCAGACCAATATCTGTACTATCATATGTATATTTGTTTTGATGTATAAACATTTCATATATTTGTTTTTGAGAAAATTCTTGAATTTACTTCCAAAGAATTGCAAACAGCTTATTAATAGAAGTAATATAGTTTTTAACACCTTTTAATTTGCTATATAAGCTTTCTATACATTAACTTGATCCTATACCAAGGTTAACATTACCTTTTATGTATGACACAAGCCAACTTTTTTTATATAGCACTCAAGTCTTGCACATGTATGCTTTTGCTTTTGAAAATTTATTCTATAATATACTAATTTTTTCTTTAATTGGCTTTCTGAAATATTACTATAGAAAAGCTTCTAAATAGCCTTAGTAAATTTATCTATATCAACATCTTTATGAAGTTTATTCTTGATATTCTTAAAAATATACTATGTGCATAATTAATGTCATGCACAAGGGAATATATTAGAAATTGCTTTTATTAGAGCCAATTCTTGATCAGTCATAATTGTTTCTACTTGCATACAACCTGTAAATGTAATTAGTACCTTACTTAGTTGCTGTAACACCCAATTATAAAAATCTTGTGTTTCTGAATAAACAAATGCAAATGCTAATGAATATGTAGATCCAAATCTATCAATGCTGCAAATAGCAACTAAGGGCATCAAAAATCTGATCATTTTGTATGTAGCATCAATAATTAGAATATCTTTTCCTATTGCGAACTCAGAAAGTAATGCACAATATGCCCAAAAAACAGCTTGAATAAATTCACCATCCTGATCTCTCTCACTATTGTATGCAGTTTTTAATACAATATTTTCTATAATACTTTCATTATCATGTAAAGTTTTAAGAAGCAACTCAATTTTAGTTAAACCTTGTAATTTACCTTATGTTGGTGGCTTACTGCATTATAAACATCAGGTTTGTGAATATATTTTGAACTAACAGAATTCAATACTGAAAATATATCTTTTGTTCTAAGACCATTGTCATAAAGTTTTTCTACCAAACCTAGATCATTATTATCAAGTTTACGAATAACAGTACTAAACTTTGTGGCATTCAAGCAAATATCATGATTATGCTTCAAACATGACTTCATTATAACATATTCATTAGCATGCTTGTGGTAATTTAATCCAATTGCAAATAGACATCCAGTACACTTAGTAATAAATTCTTTATTTTTGCTACTATATTTTTCTTGTTTTTCATATACAAACAATGCCTGTCTATAACTATTATCAAAGTTTTTTGTAGTTTTTCCTAAGATTATAACTGAATTTGTTTGCATTGCATATTTTTCAATTGTTGCACAAGCTTTAGCAAATGTTGTAAAAGGACAACCAGATTCAACAGTGCTTGTATCTATTGGCAAATTATTTTCTAATTTGCCTAATAACAAATTATTTTCTAATATATCTATTGGCAAATTATCTTTTAACAAATACTTTTAACAGCCTGAAACGTAATGTCTTATATATTATCAACCTATTCACAATTTCATAACCTATTAAACAATAAAGTAACTTTATTTTAAATCTTATCTCAAATAGAATTAACTTCTTTTTTTAAAAAAAAAAAATTTTGGTTTACTATTTATTGTTTTTTTTGGATCTTTAATCTCCTAACTTGGTTATTTATCTGTGTTATGACTAGAAAGAATTTTGTACAAATGCAAGTACAGAAAATTATACTTTACTTTTACTGCTTCATCTACTAAATTTATTGATTATTTCCTAATTCAGGTATCCTACTCATGTTATCAGAAAAAAGCTTGTACAAAATGCAAAAAATTATTTCTCTTTTTGTTGCTTTCTATAAATTATTTTTTGTATAGTATAAGATTGGTACTGATCATAAAAAAAAAGGGTTAATTGATCATGAAGTATTTATAAATAAATACAAATCTATTTTGGATTGAAAATAAAAAGCAATATCTAACTGTTAAATGAATAATATATTATTATGATGATTGCTTATAAAAAAATGCTTGTATATTTAAACTTGGCCATAAGCAAGAAAAGCTAACTAATTGTTAAAGTGTATTTATAGGATTGAAATAATATTAATTACGTAATTACTCAGTAAAGATAAATGTAAATTACTAATAAAAAATTATAGTAATCGATAGTGTTACATATTTGATAGTTTATTCTATATGATTTTATTGGTCAATCTGAATTAATGTACATAAGGTTACATGAAATTGATGTACATGAAAAATTGCTGTTTTTTTTTAACTTAAGCAATTATATTAGTACTTTATTAAAAATTTTGATACTATATAAATTATAGAGAATTTTTCTAATACTTAAGTCTAGCATCATCTGGTCATCTTATTGGTATTTAAGTGTAACCTGTTATATTATTCCAAATAGAAGTAAACTGCTCATCTGACTGCCACTCTACAATAGAATACTACTAATCTGATAATGTCTTCTTATAGAAAAGCAAAAAAACAAAAAAAAGATTTTATATATAAAAAAATAAAGGTATAGAAGTAAATGATAAAAGATACAAAACAAGAAATAAAAAGGAAAAAGAAGATAAATAAAAAAAAAAGAAAAGTGTAAAACTTGCAATTTACAAAAAATTAGACAGTTACAATTTTAAAACTATGTTAAACATGAAATTTGCAATTTACAGATATCAGATAATTACAATTATAAGTCTGTATCAGGCTTGTAAAAATTATAAACTATACTAAATAAAAATTACTCTGCTATTTTTCTATTTACTTAGATTATTTAAATAAAAACCCAAAATAAGAAAAAACCTTTGACATTATTATAGAGAGTTAGCATAGAATACTAATTAGTTTAGAGACAGTATTTAACAAATTTTCAGCAGCTCAAAACATATATATAGTCATATTTGTATTGCTATATTATTTCTGATCTATGTTGTCAACAATCCTATTTAAGAAATAAACATTACTAACTGTTTGATAATTTTATATATTAATCTTTAAGAAGAGGTAAACTAAATTATTTACTTTTATTAAATTTTTCTAAAAAAAAAATAGAAGTGCTAGGTGATCCAACTTTTAGCTTTTATGAGTTCTTAACCCTTGTAGATATTTCTTGTAGATTTTACAGTTATATAGAACTAATATATTCAACTTTGTTGTTTACTTAATAAGAAACCTTGGCTTTTACTAACCACTTCTTCTATAGTCTCAAAATGTTCTTTAAACTATCAACACAAGACTGCAACTCTTTTTTAAATCTATTTCAATGTCCAACAATATGTATACAGTATTTTAGAAAGGTTTTCATAAAGTTTAATATATTAACTATAACATTTTTCTGTAGTTATAATCTTTATTTATTATAAATTATTTTAGTCCTATAGTAAAGTCAAGTAGATTAGAACCAGAGCTTAAAATTCTATAGTAATTTGCTAATCTGCAGCCTATTGTTTGATATATTTTTCTTGATTTATTTTATTGTTTACTATATTAGTCAATTATACTATAAATCAAAAATAATATTTTTAAATGATCAGTATTTCAATATAGTTATTTAAGTTCTAATTAGGACTATTATCTGGTTACAAAATTGTAGCTTTAACTTATTTAATTTTTTATAATTGCAAGTTTTGTATAATTAAATTATTTTAACTTTAACCTGTTACTAATTTAAAAATAAAGTAAAAAAATATATTTATTATACAATAAAAGTAATTTTTTTTTTTTTAATGTTAAAATGAGGCCTTGCTTATATTTTTATTAGTAATTTTAGTTGTATATATTAATATACTACATATTAAGATATACTAAGATTGTATAAACAA